GACCAAGCAGTGACCACAACCTTGACCTTTGTCAGCTCTACAATACTCCTGGGAATTCTGATCATTCACATAAACATTATCATTTCATTCTTGTATTGCCTTTTGAAATTGTTGTAGGTTTTTCTCTGTGTTTTCTTCAGTTTTGTCAGTGTTTTCCTTGATCTGTCTCTCAATTCATTGAAGATAGCTAAATATAATTCTTTTGAATTCCTTATCAGGAAGTTCCAATGGTGTGTCTTCCTCAGGGATGTGTTTTGGGTCTGTATCTTGGTCCCTTGTTTCTCCTGCTTTATCTCTCTTCTTTGTGTGGACTGTGATACTTTGTTGTCTCTGAGGAATTGTGACATTTTTGTGTTTATATTTAATTGGTGATTGTATGTTGGAAGGACTTCCCCACGATTTATGTTTACTTTGTTTTGTTAGTATGTTATCTACGCAGGCAGGGTACTGTGCTGTACTCCTTTATTCACTAGTTGACAGCATTTATACACTGACTGTTTGTGTCCTGTCCGGTTGTCAGCCTCTTGTATGTCCCTGCCAACCTTGGCAAACAGAGCCTATTCTTAGGTCCCTGGAATCTGAATGAGAATACTGTTGTTGTTGTTGTTGTTATGTGCTGATGAGTCAGACCCAACTCATGGCAACCCTTCCTTGGGTTTCCGAAGCAGTATCATTACAGAAGTAGATTGCCCAACCTTCCTTCCGAAGAGTGGCTGGTGGGTTTGAACTGCCAGCATTCTGGTTAGCAATCAAGGGCCTAAGGCACTACGCTATCAGAGTGCTATCACTTTAAAATCCAAAATGGTTGCCACTTGTAAAGATTCCAAATGGCTGCGCCCTCTGTCACTTAAATATCCAAAATGGCTGCCACTTGTAAACATTCATAATGGCTTCACCCTCGGTCACTTTAAATATCCAAAATGGCTGCTGCATGTAAACTGTCAAAATGGCTGTGCCCTCCAGACATCGGAAAGTCAACAGCTCAGGTTGTCTCCCTCCTTGCTGCTTCTCTTCCTAGTAATAGGTCTCCAGCTCCGTCATCCCTGCAGCCCTTGGTGACCAGGGCTGATCTTTAGGTCAATTCTCAGGTCCCAGTGCTACTTAGAAATTTTCAGGCTGTTAGTCTCGTCAGAGTAGCTGACAGTCCACAGGTCCAACCGTTCCTATACTCACTGGTTTTGTTCAGATTTTTCCACTAGTTGGTGCCTAATCCACTTCTATATAGTTCCTTTCAAACCTCAGGACTCCAGGATTATCTTCTGTATCTCT